TCCAGGCGCGTTTCGGGGTATCGTATTCCCGTTTGGCTCTGGCCAGGATCGTGTTCAGTACAGGGTCATTGCCCCAGGTGCTGGAGCCAACGTAGATGTCGGAGAGTGTGGGTGGCTTGCGAGCCGTCGCGTGGGTTCGGTGTCGATTGAGGTAGTGGTTCATGGCTGTGCTTCGGGGGTTTGAAGTGAATACATTTCCAGAATAGCGTCGTTTGCTGAGTTCAACAGACCCTGATCGCCAGAGCCTAATAGCCAGATTAGCATGTCAGCCCTTGCAATAGCCTCGCTAGTTGAGGAAATAACCTTTTCCGTAGGTGTTCCAGGCCACAGAACCAAGGCGAACTGCTCTTTTTCTTCACACCATTGCGGTAGTCTTACGCTTACCGTTTTGATAATCATATAGCCTAGCTCGGTAGCGTCAAACGCCCGCTTTGGTTTGTACATCGGATGGGGCCAGTCTTCATTCTCTGACAGAAAGAAACATCGGTTGGCGCCATTTGACATCGTTGCCCAATACGCATCACCAGGTTGCAATTCCTGACTTACACCCAACTCAAACAGCCGGGCGGCCTGTTCAAAGGTGCATACCTTAATTTCAGCTTTCATCTTCTTTTCGTAGTCAAGCCCGACAATCAGCCGGGCGGGTGAGGGGTTGTTACGCCAACATTTTTCGTAACACCCCAATTCTATTGCGGGAGAAATGGAAAAGCGCTGGCGAAAAGTGATACATTTCAGGGCTTATATCAAAAGCCCGGCGACGGTCTGGCTGTGCTGCGTAGGACTCCAAAAGCGTAGTCCAAACTTCTATATTAGCAATGTGAGCCAACATCTGCTTTCCTCTGCCGATTAGCCTATACTGCAGAGGTGTAAGATCCCTAATCTTAATGTATTCAGGATCAAACAAGCAAGGGAATGTGATTGCTGGAGCGTGGGGCGTTACCCGATACAGTAAATACAAAGCCAACTCAACATCGATCAACTGCCTAGCGGAAAGTGTCTGCATGGTAATTTAGGGGTTGTGAGGCTTATAGTACCCACCACTGTAAGGCTTGAATCCCAATGCCTCAGCGCGCTTATTGAGCACACCATAGGCCGGGCCGTATCCGCGCAGGCTGTGGTTCAGCGGGTGTTGCTGGCTCGCCCGGTTCATGGAATTAATTATGTTCCGTATCCGGTTTAGCTCTAGCAAATCCGTCTGAGCATTTACCTCAGCCTCGAACAGCCCCAGGCTCCGGCAGCGGTCAATGCTGAACGGGCGGGGCGGGGTTATGGGTGCACTGCACTGGGTATGGCGCAGCGCCTTGGTCGCTGGCGTGTATTCGCCCTGTCCGACCTCAACCCGCTGGGTGCAGGCGGTGCAGGGTCCGGGGAATCGGTTCGTCATTGGTTTAGTGCCCGTATAAGATCATCGGCGTGCTCTACTGCACTTTCCGTTAAGGACTGCATACTGTATGTATCTCCGCACGAAAGCATACCCTGTAGAGCGCAAATGGCGAAATACTCCCGCTTTGTAAGCGTACTTTTGTTGTAATCAAGGCTATCGGCTGAGTAAACCGGCTGATCACCATGCGTAGGATTGTGATTCATGATGTGAATTGTTTATATGGGTCAAGTCTTGCAAACGTTCAGCTTCGGAATAAAAAGAACGCGCACCAGAAGCCGGTACGCGTTTTTGCAATCAGTCCAATTTACTCCAACTTATACTGCTCTTTGGTCGGCGGGTGAATCAATCGCTGGAACCAGGCGGCCCCAGCGAGATCGAAAACAACCAGCCTTCATGAATGATGTTGTTCGAGGGGGCAAATCAGTGAGCGGAGCAGAACCCCGCTCGTGATTGACTTCCTCTTTTCTATCCGTTGCCGGGGAGAGATTCGAACTCTCATTAGGAAGGGTTAGGGATTACGCTACCCGCCCTACTACTGTGTGGCCACACGGCGGCTACCCTTTCGCCACCCGGCAATGCTTTTTTGCTAGGGAGAATACGCCAGGACACACGCCCTGGCGATTGCTTCATCCACACCGAGTCAATTAAATGTTAGCGTGGCTCCTACCCTGGAGTATATATCGAACAGTCTGCCTACATACACCTAGTCTTCTGGACTCCACTTGAATGATAATCTTTTCAGTCTTTTGTCGACTTCTCAACTCTTGAACCTGGGCAATAGATAGCTTAGTAGGTGTTTTTCGCTTACCTCTACGATATATGATTGCCCCACTTTTATGGGCTAATCTTGAATTCTCTCTACCACCAATCCACTCAAGATTTTCGGCACGATTATCAAGCTTATCCATATTAATGTGATTGACCGTCAATCCTTCACTATAGCCATCAACAAAAGCCTGAGCTACTAATCGATGAACCAATAAAAACTTTAGCTTAATGCCCGCTCGGTACAATCCAACTACAAGATATCCCCTTTTCTTAAGATTGGGCTTCAAGAATCGGCCACGTAGTAAAGAGTAAATTTGACCGCACGATGTCACCTGATACCGACCCTCAAAGTCCGGTATATCCTTTAATATGTACCCATCCATACTTTTGGTTTTTTAGTTAGACTAAAAAGGCAGCGAGTCATCATCCCCCTGGCTATACTGAAACTCATCCCTTGTTTCTTGTCTAACTGGCTGCTTTTGGCCCTGAGCTTTAGCCGTCGGCTGTGGTGCGGCTGGCTCATCAGCAGGCGTGATCTTGAACGCCCGTAGCTCCGTGTACCATTTACTGTTGTACGGCCTGGACTCAGCACTGAATGACAATTTAATGATGTCATCCTTTTTGAGGTCTTCGAGCGATTTGACCGTTTCACCCCAGGCCGTGAAGCATATTTTCTTAGGGTAATCCTTATCCAGCGTTTCAATGACGAACTCGCGCTTTACCCATGCGCCTTTTGCGCTTTGACCTGTTACTTCTGGTAGTCGGCTAATCAGATGGCCGCTGATTTCGTAAGATGGCATGATATATATTGATTAAAGCGTTAAATACTCGTGTTTATCGGCCCCGGCTGCTGAGAACGTCCGGCTCTCATGCGCTTCAAGTAGCGCCATCGCCTTAGTCGCTTCTTCCCGCTTGTACGGGCATTTCTCGAAGTCGATAACGGGCCGTAGCGCGCTGATGGCTACCTTCACGCCCGACCGGTTGATGATGTTGACTAACCGGATATAGCCGAGCCGGTACACGATACTCTGGCTGGCGAGGGTCTGTAATTGCTGTATGAGTGTCGGCATGGCTATAAGGTGAAATCCTCTGAGTTCTTAAGTTGCATAATGTTGAAGCTGTCCGACACTTTCATTTTTCCGGCTATAATGCCACCCTGGCCAACCAATTTACCTGACCCCGTAATGGTGCCCAGGATAACCAGGTCAATGCAGGCGACGTAGCCTGTACCATTTCGGGATAGTTTGACTGCTTCTGCTTTGAAGCCCGTTACTTTCCGGTAGCGAAGACTGATCGCTTCAATACTTAGGTCAGTTGGCGCATCAACCTCCGGGGTTTGCTCAGAGCGTAACTTATAGAGGTGACTTGTGTGAAAATTAACGGCTGTCATAGCGGTAGGTTGGCTTTGTAACGAGTGTAGACAAGAATTGAAAATCGATCAACAACTAAATGACATAAGCTGACAGTTGCCTTGTAGTAGTAACTATCTACTTCATCGTAACCAGATTCATTAAGTAATGCCAGATCACTTAGAACTGTTGATATGCCTCTATAAATAGGCCTTAAGTCTTGCGTTCGGCAGGTGTCTAATGAATTCGACACGTCTAGCGCTCTTAGGTACTTATCGTTTATTTCTTTCTTCGTTAGCTTTTCCATAAGAAGGTATTTAGTTGTCGGGGCTGGATTCGAACCAGCGTCGATGGTTACTATGTTTCTTATGTTTCCATAGCTTCCAATACCTAGCGGGGCACTCCCCACAAGGCGCGTTCGACCACTTCGCCACCCGACATTGTTTTGCAATCAGCCGCCTGGCAAGCGTCACCACCAGCATCCAGACTATTTATTATGGTTTCAGGCTAATTGCGCAGGTACGTAGATTCTTCCCCTCTACTCGGTTGTCAAGACCGTTAAACCTTCTGATTTCAAGGAACTGAATGGATCCGGCTCGTTTGCCGGGGTATGCTACTGTGCGAAGTATCAAGTCGGGAGGGTGTACAGGGTCAATGTGTGGCTTACCTGTGTTGCCCTCCCTTATTGATGAATCAAAAGTACAAGAAAAGATAATACAAAGCAAGAAAAAGATAAATTAAGATAGAAATAAAGATAAAGATTGATTTGGTGGTATATTTGCATCAATGGCGGTTGTCGCCAGCCTAGAGATAGGTGTATGTATAATTATGCTGTAGTATTACAGACAAAAATCCTTGTTATGATAAATAAGATAACTTTAGAGAAGCTGGAGGAACTCGTTAAGCAGAAAGAAGCGGGACTCCTTACGGATGATGCTTACGGATATAAGGCATCCGAAATATTAAACGAGTATATTGATTTGGATGCCAGATATGACAACAGAGATAAGCAAATGGCATATTTATGTTCTACATTGTCCTTTACGCTATCGGCTGTTCAGGCGCTTATGGACTGTAATGCAGAGATATATAACTTGCTTAATAAGGGTAGAAAGAAGGACAACTTGGATACGTTTACAAAATCCCTAAAGCAGCATGATAAAGTAAATAAGAGGCAACAAATTGAATTTACCACAGACTTAAAACCGAAGCAGTCAAGGATCAACGATATAGTGGCAGAAGCCGAAAAGGTATTAAATATAAAATTTCAAGCCCCCATTGTTAAAGCAGAATATACCAACGAAGTAGACACCGACCTCGTTTCTGAATTTAGAGAGTTTATGCGAAATAGAGAGGAACCGCCAGTAAAAAAGGGGCGGGAAAAGAAAGAGTAAATTAATGACGTCAATTCCTAAATTTCTGTTTAACTACAAAAAAGCCAGCCTATTTAATGGCTGGCTTTAAGGAACTTACCTATAAAAATGATTTAGCTAAAAGGTTATATTACTTCTAGTGTAGGGGCGTGGATTACCTCCCGCCCAAAGCCAACACTTTTTCTGGCTAATTCGGAATTGTTTTTCATCCAGTCTTGCACAAACCAGAGTTGGCCACAACCACCTCCAATATCATCCTGGCCAGCCGGATCGAACATACGCGTGGAGTAGCCCAACTCCATTAATTTTTGCATGAATCCGGCTGCCAACTCCCGCTGGCGAACATTGGCAGCTGCGATACTCTCTTCACGCTCACAAACAACCGAGATAGTTGCCTCCCATACTTTTGGATTAAATAAGGCATAAATCCTATCAGCGTCCTGTTGGGTCGTATTTCCTTCGTGAGCACAATAATTAAAGTATGGATTGCGACCAGTTTCTTCAAAGAAAATTTCACCCATTGTAGCAATACTTTCTAGGCTTAGCTTTTTGTCGAAGGGTATCAGGGCATTTCTGGCTTCATCCGTGCTTTCGTGAACACTAAACTGTAAGCCTACGGTTGGTATCCGTCTTGCCATTTCCATAACTGGGTGGTAGTCTATATTCGGCCCAATGGTTGATATTAAAAGCCGCGCTTTAGGGTATTTTGCGTATAAAATCTCAAATGCCTTTTCGAGATTCTTAAAGTTCAACAAGGGCTCTCCCATCGACATAACCATAATTTGAAATTTATCAATCTGGCTTGCATCAATACCTCTTGATTGAAGTAAGTAATCAGGCTGACTAACAATTTCTTCAGCGGTTAAGCTTCTTACAAAATAATCGCCCGCTCCACAGAACCGACAGCCTACGGGACACCCTGATTGTGTAGAACAGCAAATTACCGTCCTAGCCTCATAGGTTGGGTATTTATACAGTACTGCTTCGGCCACTGCATTATTTTTTTCAAAGACGAATTTCATTACATTTTCGTCACTACTCTGAATATCTCTAATTTTGTCCCACATATTAAGTTTTGTTAAATATTTACACTAAATCGGTTATTTTAATTACCATCATTTTTGGTCCAGTCTTTAAAATTTTAACCTGCTGGTAAAACTTCTCCCTTATGTACTTATCGGAGTCATCAACAATTACCTTTCGATTCTTTAGGGCATCAATCAATTGCTTTGCTCCCCCGATAAAGTTGTCATTGTCGAGTGTATAAGCAGAGTGGCGATACACCTCAAGTCTGACCTTTCCGGGGTGCTCATTGCGGGTCATTGCCCAGATAATCTTTTCATATCGCTTACGCAGACTTTGGCGAGCCCTCCAGCTCATCTTGTTGGTGGCGTTCAATGAAGGCGAGGCATGATTTGGTATAACTATTTCAGTGACCATGGCTTTTGTTTGATAAATGGCGGGGGTGTCGTCTGTTATATTCATCCTCTTTTGCTACCTCCTGGCATTAAAACGCTGTGAGTCATATCGCTGAACCGATCAAATAATCGTGTCCCATAAATGCTTAATTTACTGGGCGGTAAATTGCTCGTTATATGGGTGAGTATCCCCTTTTGCTGAAAGCCCGTATAGCGTTCAGAAATTAATAAATCCATTGGGTTCTCTGTGTTGCCGTACAGCTTTACATCTTGTCGCTCTTCGCCCAGATCGTCCAGAAGCAGGTTTCCGGTAAAGAATCGACGTATGGGCTTTAGTTTGCCTTCGTCGGCTACCTCCTGCATTAAGCTCTTTGTTGACACCTCCCGAAAAGTCATGGGCTTTATTTCGGCCAATTCGCAGAACTGAGCGAATACCTGCATCATAAAGGTTTTGCCGACACCTACGCCACCGTAGAGGTAAATTGACTTGGATAGCGGTATAGATGAGCCGTGATCCCCAATAAAATAGGCTGTTATATCGGCAATAACCTCTTTTTGTTCGGGCGTAAAGTAGAGGGTCTTGCCCTCCCTGGCCAGTCGGATAATCAACAGTTCAGCTACAATTTTCTTAGCCTCTACGTAGTCCATGCACTGCTGACGGGGTTCCAGCCGAATCTGCTGATGGACGCGGGCCATAATGGCGTCGAACCGACTGACGGGTTGGCTAAGCTGCTGTTGACGCTGCGCGTATTCTACCCCATCGGGTGATTTAGCGGCAAGGTCTGCCTGCGCCTTCTCAATCGCTTTTTGTTTTAACAAGTCATTCTGAGCCGCCATTGCCCGCTCGTGAGCTTCTTTAAACGATTCGAGTCGGTCTGGTGAAGGGATAGCTAAACTATCTTGAATTTCATTTAAAAGATTCCTGGACATAGACGATTCCAGTAAGGTCGGCTCCCTGTCCGAGTGCTGCTCTGGCGCTCCCTGAATTGCCTGAGTTTCGTCCTGGAGGGGTAATATTTGGGGTTGTTCTTGGACCAACATACTGCTGTTTGGGTTTATTGGACTCGATACGAAGCCAGTTGAAACAATGCTTTTTAAATTCGATAAAATCAGGGTATTGCTTACTCAGTGCCCGCTGCTCCTGGCTGAATTGGTCAATCATCAAGGGCAGGGTAAGGCGATCAATTTTTAGACTCATGCAGGTATTCTCCGTGAACTGAGCCTCTTTCTTTAATTGCTCGCAAAAATGAAAATATGAATCGCCACTGATATTTGTTTTTGCAGGATCAGGTTGGCCTATAGGCGTTTGCTGTTCGGCCAAAATCGGCTCTTCGCGCAGTAGAGGGGTAGTAGTAGTTATACTTTCCTTTACTTTTCTTTCCTCTCCTTTAACGCGCGAAGGAAACTCAGCAGAAACTGGGGTTTCTGGTATAGTTTCTGCGTCAGAAACCCCTTCGCTGGCGGGAATCGGGGTAGGCTCTTGCCGTTGCTGGTATGAGTGAGCCATCTTTTGGCGCTTATTAACCACGCTGGCAGCCCGCTTTTTGATGCCTGGAGAGGTCAAAACGCCCCGTTCTGTATAACACTTTGGGCAGAAACACTTCCGTTTAATGGCAGTCTGCAACATTTCTGCAAACCTATCAGTACTTACTTCTACTTTTCTGGCGAGTATCTGAATAGTTTCTGCGTCAGAAACATCTAACTCAAAGTCAGGTGTTCGGTAGATGCGCTCCAGCATAATAAAATAAAATGCATAGCCATCGTTTCCGTACAGCATGCGGAGTGCATCTACCTTTTCATCACTACTGGCGTCGGTGTCATGAGGGAAATAATCCATTCCCTGCTTAGTGGGCCTGGCCATCCTGTTAAACAGTTTCTAATTCAGGCTGCCCCTCTTTGGCGCGATCCTTAACATCTTTGAGCCGCTTTAAGACTGTCTCCAAGGCATCATAGACAAACATGGTGCCCAGGTTCATTTCTGAATGGTCATTGACCAATAAGTATAACTGACCTCTGGATAAATCTTTATTCAACTCCTGTTTGGCATAATCCACAACAGCCTGAGCGTAATCTAGCCGATTTTGATTAGGAAAATACCGGTTAATAAGCCGTTTAAGACCATTATCGACCATTGACCCATCTTTTTTTGTCTTTGCCATATCTTTTTATATGTTTGTGGTATGCTTTGCTAATTACTACTAGCAAATATACAA